AATCTGGCTTGATAAATTTGATAAAATCTACCAATTAGGAGTTATCGACATTGAAATTTCGGATTCATTTGCATCATTGGCAGCAGCCATTACTGACATTGTTTGCATACATTTGCTGCGGAAAGCTAAATGCAGAAGACTAGCGAATGCTAAGCGCGGAACTCATCTTTCTTGTCTAAATTTGTCTCAATTACTACACACAAGAACTATTTACATAGACATGCTCAGTTTACACAATGATACCTACACTGATAGTTATTCTGCAGCGAATGTATGCAAACAATGCCAGTAATGGCTGCCCATGACGTGAATGAATCCAAACTTCCACTGTTGATAACTCCAAAACAGTAGATTTTATCAAATTTATCAAGCTAGATTCGAATGAAGCATGTACAATTACACATAAATGTAAGTATCTATCTATATTTCTGAGATGAGGTATTATGTACACTATTTACTTTATTCAGACTATTGTCCTCATCTTTGTTGCCATATTTATTTGTTTTGGCCATTGTACGTTCTGGCCTTCTTAAGGTGGTTGGAATGTTGAATTGAACCCTTTATTTTGCTCGCTGGGGTAGACTGTTCTAGTTCCACGTGCCATGTCTAACAGATCTCAGTTATCAATTATCGCCTGTTAATTCACCTCTCCAAGTTCTCCACTATCTTAACCAGGTATTGAACTCACACGGACACATGGCATAGTGGATAAAGGCGTTAGTTAAATCCAGCGACAGGACCTAAAGAGTGTGAGTTCAATACCTGGTAAAGGAGATAATTGATAACTGATATCCATTAGACATGCATGTGGAACTAGAACAATCTACCTCAGCGAGCGAAATAAAGGGTTCAGTTCAACATTCCAACCACCTGAAGAAGGCCGAAACATTGTGATAAATATGGCAACAAAGATCAGAACAATAGTCCAAATAATGTAAATAGTGTAAATGTAAGTATTGCCGAAATTCTTAATGCGAACTGAGCGCGGGTGTTACACTGCAAATTAACCATTTATTACTACTATAAAAGTTATTTTTAGTAGGTACATGTGTTTCAGTTGACATTTCCAGTTTATTTTTTCTTTAAATAATTAATACCAACCAGCCTAGACAGAGAAATCTTACTAAAGAATCGTATACCTAATGATAAAAATGGAGCCTCTATTCCCTTTTTCTACCAGAGTAACCACCCCAATAACTGGAACGTGCCCTTTCCAATTAGGCCAGGGTTGACACACATATTAAGATTTGCCTTAAGATGACATCTCTGTGGCCTAATTGGTAAGGGGATTTTTCGGCTGTAGAAGTGGTTTCCCTAATGAAAAAATGGAATACAGGTTTGATTCATGTCGACAGGCAAATTTTTCTTCATGTTGATATTAATTTGCCTCTTTAAGGAAATAAAAAAATGTCAACTGAAACATGTACTTACTAAAAATAAGGTTTATAGTAATAAGAGTCACTATATTCTAAAAACTGTGAACATCCGACAGTTTATAAGGTAAGAGTTTTGATTCAATAATAAAAATGTGGACCTGTCTATATTTCTGAGATGAGATTATGTACACTATTTACATTATTCGGACTATTGTCCTCATCTTTGTCACCATATTTATTACAACATTTCAGCCATTTTATGCTCCGGCCTTCTTCAGGTGGTTGGAATGTCGAACTGAATCCTTTATTTCGCTCACTGGAGCAGACTGTTCTAGTTCCACCTGCCATGTTTTGATGGATATCATCAGTTATTTCCTCTCTAAGTTCTCCACTGCCTTAACCAGGTATTGAACTCATAACTCTTTTGGTCCTGTCACTGGATCTAACTAATGCCTTTATCCACTATGCCATGTGTTCTTTGTTGGAAAATATGACTTAAAAAAATAAAATATATTCTTTATGAGACAATATTTTTTTAATGGTTGTTTCATATAACATTAAAAAGCATTATTATGTGTTATTTACAAATAACAAAGCACATGAATCTAGTACCCAAAACATTTGCACTATTTTGCATTGTGCAGCGATATAGTTAGTGGCCAAATTTATAGTTTATAATTTTAATTGTTGCAAATACTAATCATGAGTAAAAGAAAGAGTTATTAAGCAGGTTTTAAAATAGATAAACACTTTTTTTCTAAATGTACCATAACATTTTCTATTTTTTTTTCTAGTTGACTTGATATAAAAATGATATGCAGTAAATATAAAAATACCAGTACAACAGTTACTTCCTTTTGTTTTTTATATAATGATTGATGAAATGTATTTTAACTGCAAAAATGTACTAATAATTGTAAGTTTTGAAATAAAAGGTAAATATCTGATAATACTTACATTTAAAAAGGTTATAGATTATAGTCCAACCTATCTGAGTCAATAGTAAACCATCAATTATTAAGCCATAAAGTAGGGGTGTGACCTATCTGGTGGGGCGACCTATCCACAAGTATATACGGTACGTAAACTAATCACTAACCATTGTTTCTTCTCTTTCAATAATAATCTCTACAAGTAAAAATTCAGCTTATCCATGGGGTCACCCCTCAGTGGTATTCTTGCTTGTCTTTTTCTAGAATTTTTAGAATCCAGTCCATTTAAACACATATCTAAAAGCACTACTTACCTAAGATATATAGATGACGTTATTTTATTATAACCCCATAATATAAACTTATAAGACATAGTAATGAAATTCAAGAAGGTTGAACCTACCATCAAATTCATACAAACTTGAAATAAACAAATCTCTACCTTTTCTCAAAATCTTATTAATACATAAAGTTTATCATAAATCCACTAACAAAAACGATTTAATTAATTTCTATTCCCTCCGCAATCAAAGAATAAAATCAGGATTAGTCATAGGATTCTACCTCAGAGCCCTTAGGATATGCAGCCCTGAATACCAAAATGAAGAAGAGAAATATATTGAGTAAACATTAAGACCATTTCACTACCAACATTTACTTACAAAATTTACAAATAAAAAAAAAACTAGACAATGCCAATGACACTTCTAACAAAAACAACACAAAATTCATAATCCTTCCCCGCCAACACTCCAACACTCTTTCTACTAAACTTGAAAATATATTAGTTATCTCTAATACTAGAATATTGACCACCTCGTTCAAGACAATTGTAGATATAATTAGGAAGAAAAACAAATTGAATACTAATTGAAACGCTGGTATTTCTCAAATAAATTGTGAAAAAGTTTATGTAGGGAAGACATTACTTGATCTAAAAGCCCGTACCTGTGAACAGAAAAAAGATTTATGTTTCAACAACCATTCAAACTTTCTTGTAATATACAAGAACAAAACTGGCCATAACAAATCTATGAAGCCAAAAACTAGACATCACTAACAAGAAAAATTCATAATCCTACCCTCCAACACGCTTTCCACTAAACTTGTAAACGAATTAGTTATCCCTAATACTAGGAGCTTTACCATCCCTTATAAGACAATCTGCAATATAATCAAGAAGAAAAATAAACAATACTAATTCAAATGTCAGTATTTATCAAATAAATTGTTTACAGCGCAAAAATGTTTATGTGGGGAAGATATCATATGATTTATGAATACAAAAGAGATTTGCATTTGGGCAATCTTTCAAATGCTCTCGTTTTACACAGGAACAAAACTGGCTATAATTTTGATTTTACTAATGTCTCCCTAACTAAAAAAAGAACCATCCTTAAGGAGAAAATAATAAGCTTAATAATAATAATATTATTACCAACAATTACACACATCTAAAACATTATATTACATCACCAATTTTTATTGAATCCATTCTTAAAGAATCTAACAAATCTATCTAACACAAATATTATGTACATAAAAACATTCCCATATCAACAAACAATAAAACAGAGACATGTAGTCTACTGGACATACATGACTGACCAATCAGAATCATATATAGATATATATATATATATATATATATATATATATATATATATATATATATTGATACACGTTTCTATTAAATAATATAGATAAGTTTTGTCTATTTATTTTAAGTAAATTCCTTTCATATTGTCTGATAAGCTTAATAACATTATCATTGAAAGATGAAAGAAAGACACCATATTGATGCATGTTTTTTAATCCTATCCAAGCTTTCGTCTTACATAAGCCATAATCAAAGATGACAATTACATTTCAGTATATTAAACAATACACAGACAAAACAATAATGATAGTCTGATATCATGTGTATAAGACACAGGTTTTTTTTAATCCAAAATCATGTCGAAAAGTTAGTTACATCTTATACTTTAGTTTACAAATCAATCTCATTTATAACCAAGGTTCAAAAATGGACAAAATCAGGTTAGATTGAATTTATTTGTCTACAGGAGAGATAATATCTATCTAATGGTATGTTGCAACAAAGGGAAATAAATATTTTATCATTAAAATCAAAATAGACAAGTTACTATTTATTCAATTTTATTTCCATTTCGCAAGGTCTTATATCCCAAGAGTCATTATCAGATTTTTCGTAATGCTTACAAATCACAAAAGACAACAAAATACCCTGTTTTTTGTTTTGCTTCTTTTTTTCTCTTCCTTTTTCAAGTTTTGGTAATTTTCCTTTCTCTACAATCTGGAGCATTTTATACCTGAAAATAAGCTATTTTCCCTGAAATTTCTCTGCATTTTTAACTGTGTCTTTTACTCCCTCGTGATCTAAACACAAATGATTACGAGATCAGATAGATAGATAGATAGATAGATAGATAGATAGATAGATAGATAGATTTTAGAAAGAAAGAAATATATAGAATAAGAATGAAAAACCTAAAAGTGTATAGATAGATAGATAGATTTTAGAAAGAAAGAAGGAATAGATAAAGAAAGAAAACCTAAAAAGTGATAGATAGATAGATAGGTAGATAGATTTTAGAAAGAAAGAAGGAATAGATAAAGAATGAAAACCTAAGAAAGTAATAGATAGATAGATAGATAGATAGACAGACATAACCTTAATCATGTGTCTTGCATGGTAGCTGAGGTAGTTATATACAGTGCAGTTGTTGTTGTTAAAGGTTCCAGATTATGAATGTTGATTTTCTAGGCAACCCTTCCACACTTGAGAATTTGGCACAACACAATCTTCTTCCTGATATATTTTCTTTGTCAATTATAAAGTGTTATATACAAAATTAATCTAGTATATATTTATATATTTATATATATTCCTCACTGTGGAGTATTTTTTAGTAAGCTAATCTCGTAGACCAACTGGCATGGACAAAAGAGACATATTCCAGATTGAGTGATGACACTACATGTCGCTAATTATGTGATCAACTAAATACACATTATGTATTGTACTAGAGACTAGATTAATTGATGACTAAGCAAGGAACATTCACAGGGAATTTATTTGTTCATGCCTTTCAAATGTCTTGTGTTTTTGCCAAGTGGAGTAGGGCATTATCGTAGTGTGTTTTGATCCTGATACTTGTGACTTTGTGCCAGTCTAAGAGAAGATTAAATAAAAGCCATTCCCTGGTGCGCTTTGTTGAGAAATCGATATTCTTCGTGTAAGAGCCTTTTGTTTCCTGTCTACTGTCAATGGTCGGCTTTTCTGTCTTCTCAACAAAGAATCAAAAGGAGGGTGGACCAAGCCAGGTGAACGGATTCTAAACTTAGACAATGTCACTACGAAAAGACCAGCAACAAGAATCAATAAAGTCTGTAAGATTGGTGATTCCACTTCAAAAATAATTGCTTAAAAGAAGTGCTCAATATTTGCACAATTCCTTCTCTTCATACCTTCCCATTTGAGAAATTAATGTCACATGATCTATATATTTGATGCAATAACAACCTGTTACTCATTTCAAATATCTATACAAGACATCTAGCTGTTTATCTAACACACAATAGCATTGGTAGGATTTATTAAATAAGTACATCAAATCTTTCATTTTTATGATTGTATAAATACTGATTAACTATGAGAGTATAAGTAGCAATATGTGGAAAGAATGACAGCTACTGTCTCATAACAACTGCAAATGTCAGGATCAGAGATATATCAAATAAGCTAGTTTTGAGTTTGTCATTTTGAAGTATTGAATAGCAAATTCATGAGAAACTAGAAAGATTTCAGAAGTGACTTTATTAAAAATGATCCAAATTATTATTCCTGATGAGAACATACTGGACCATTTTTAAACTTTTTTTACTTATGGAACACCTATGCCCAGTTATAATGAGTACTTATCGGTTATGGTTTTTTAAGAAATGTCCTTCCAAAAAGACAAGAAATTTGGCTATTTATTTTATCAATGGTAGAAGGAACTGCTTGTTTTATATAAGAATAAGTTCTTAAAAATAGAAGGAAACTCCTGTCTTTAGCAACATTCCGAATGTTCTTGATTTGAAAAGAAACGCAAATTAATTATAGCATTTTATTTATTTATTTTATTTATTTTCAGTGGAAAAAAAAAAATTTTAATAAATTTCAGAATATTGAAAGTTTGAATGTTTTTACTATAGTTTAAAGTTGAATATCTTTTCCATAAAATCAATTTGAAAAAGACTAGTTATATATATATATATATATATATATATGCTCACTGAAACTATATGGATTTAGATCCGACAGTATGAAGAAAAGAATATGAAAAACAAACAGGTATTAATATACATTATGGTAGCTTAATGTTAATATAATGTCAACGTCGGACATTTCGGTCTAATAGACCATCTTCAGAACATATTCATAAAAAACATAATTAACATTAGACTATATTCAATTCAACATAAAAAGATGATGGACACAAGAGCAAGACTTAATCCAAACATAACGAAATTTTTTTTTTTTTATAAGATCAGCGTTCCGTTTAATTTGATCCACCCATCTAATGTTAATTGTTTTTTGAATATGTCCTGAAGATGGTCTATTGGGACCCTTCAAACGTCGAAACAACATTATATTAACATTATGAAAGCAAATTGCATATTAGGGTTTTGTTTGTTTTTCGTAAATTTTTTTTTTTTTATATATATATATATATGAAGATCTAGTCCAAACAAGGTATAAATTTAAAAAAAATCTTATGTCTGGTTATTATGTCAGATTATCGGAAATTGGCTCTCTGGCATTTGTTTACATTTGTAAAAATAGTACGCTAGAATTTTCCTTTCCGTCTGCTGTGCCCTGATAGCTCAAGGGTAGAAACTCTGACAGATGCCAAATCGGTCAGGTTTTGATCTCAGTGATGACACACACATTATATATCATACACTGTTACATTAGAACATGTAAATATCCACTACGAAATTGTACATTTTGTTTCAACGTTTAATAAATGTCTCATCAAGTAGTTAAAAATGATGGTAATAAATAATTTTATTAAAATTTATGAAATAGGATTTCATTTTCAATTTTTTGAAAATTTTCTGAACAAGGTAAAAAGTATTTTTATTAAAAGAAAAGAAAAGGATAGAAATTAAATCAATAAAAGGAAACAAAATTTCTTTCTCTTTTTTATATATATATATATATATATATGCCCTATATATTCACTTTATATATACATATATGATTTACATTTACACTATATATACATATATATATGATTTACATTCACTATACATATATATATATATATATATATATATATATAAAGTTACATTTACACAAATATATATATATATATATATATATATATATATTTAATTTACATATATATATATATATATATATATATATATATGTCGCTTTTTGATATATATATATATATATGATTAAACATATATATATATATATATATTTTTACATTTACTATACATATATATATATATATATATATATGATTTGCATTTACACTAAAATATATATATATAAAATATACATTTACACTATACATATATATATATATATATTTATTTATTTTACACTATACAGATATATATATATAAATTTACATTTACACATACATATATATATATATATATATGATTTACATTACAGTACATATATATATATGATTTATATTTCTCATGCTTATATATATATATGATTTGACAATTACACTATACATATATATATATAGGACATTTACACTATACATATATATATATGATTTTTTTATTATATATATATATATGATTTATATTACACTACATATATATATATATGATTTAGCATTTACACTATACATATATATATATATATATATATTTATATTTACATATACATATATATATATATATATAAATATACATTTACATATGTATATATATATATATATATATACATAGATACATATATATATATATATATTTTTTTTTACTATAAATATATATATATGAGGATACATTTTACACTATACATATATATACATATATATATATATACATTTACAAATACATATATATATATATATGATTACACTATACATATATATATATATATGATTTACATTACTATACATATATATATATATATATATGATTTACATTTACACTATACATATATATATATATATATATATTTATACTATATATATATATATATATATATATGATTTACATTTGGGACTATACATATATATATATATATATATGATTTACATTTACACTATATACATATATATATATATATATATGGTTTACCTATACATATATATATATATATGATTTACATTTACACTATATATATATATATATATGATTTGTTATATATATATATGACATTTATATACATATATATATATGGATTTACATTTACACTATACATATATATATATATATATGAGGAACATTACACTATACATATATATATATATATCGAAAACATTTACATATATATTATATAGTTAATTTACATATATACATATATATATATGATTTACATTTTACACTATACATATATATATATATATGATTTACATTACACTATACATATATATATATATATATGATTTACATTTACACTATATATATATATATATATATATGATTTACATTACACTATACATATATATATATATATATATGATTTACATTACACTATATATATATATATATATATATGATTTACATTACACTATACATATATATATATATATATATATTTACATTTACATTACATATATATATATATATATATATGATTTACATTTACACACTATACATATATATATATATATATATAAGTTTTACATTCTATATACATATATATATATATATATATATGATTTACACTATACACTATATATATATATATATATATTTACATTTACATTATACATATATATATATATATATGATTTACATTTTACACTATACATATATATATATATATATATATATATATATGTTTTTTTACACTATACATATATATATATGATTTACATTTTACTATACATATATATATATATATATATGATTTACATTACACTATACATATATATAATTTACATTTTCTATATATATATATATATATATGATTTACATTTACACTATACATATATATATATATATATAGTTTACATTTCACACTATACATATATATATATATATATATATATATATGATTTACATTTACACTATACATATATATATATATATATATATATGATTTACATTTACACTATACATATATATATATATATATATGTAATTTACATTACACTATACATATATATATATATATATGATTTTACATTTACACTATACATATATATATATATATATATATGATTTACATTACACATATATATATATATATATATATGATTTACATTTTACACTATACATATATATATATATATATATGATTTACATTTACTATACATATATATATATATATATATGATTTACATTTACACTATACATATATATATATATATATATATGATTTACATTACACTATACATATATATATATATATATATATATATATATATATATTATTGAACAATAAAAAATATTAAAAAATTAAAATCTTCAGACACACTG